AATATTAATTCAAACCTCTAAAAAACATTTATATTAACTCGGAGACTTTAATTTAAACTTGATAAATTTAAACACTGATAACCACGTAAAAAGTTTTATAAATACTCTTTCTCAATTTACTGCTTACCCCATGATTAACAAGCCGACGCGTGTAACTCGAAAAACATCATCTATTATTGACAATATTATCACTAATAATTATAGTAACTCGACAATCAACAGTGGTATAATAAAAACGGATATTGATCATTTTCCTGTTTTTTTAACAACAAATACTAAATGCTGTATAAATAAAAAACCCATAACAGTATACATAAGGCATGTAAACAAAGACTCGGATTCAGTTTTTAGACAGCTTTTGCGAGAAATCAATTGGGAGCTTTTGAATGATTGCAATGACACATGTAGCGCATACGATTTCGCGTCTTTACAAGGCAATATGATAAAGCTTTTCCTAAAGTTCGAAAAAATATAAAATCCAAAAGTTTGCATACCCCGTAGATGACTAAAGGTCTTTTGAAATCATCAAAAAAAAAAAAAAAAGCTTTACGAAAAATTTTTAAAAAACAAAAACTATGAAAACGAAACTAAATATAAAAAATACAAAAACTATTTCGAAAAAATAAAAAAGCAATCTAAAAAAAACTTCTATTCTGGTCTACTTCAGAAATCATTTGGAAATGCTAAAAAAACTAGGACTATAATTAAAGATATAATAGGGAAAACAAAAATTACATCTAGCAACCTCCCTAATCGACTGAAAACCGATAAAGGTGAAATTTTTAATAAAAAAATAATTGCTGAGAGACTGAATAATTTTTTTATAAATGTTGGGAAAAAATTAGCCAAAGAAATCTCTCCAAGTAGCAAAACATTCCAGTTATTTTTGAAAAAATCAGATTTTATTATGGACAATTCGGAACTTTCCATTGATGAACTTCGTTCAGCTTTTGACATGCTTCAGACAAATAAAAGTGCAGGTCTTGATAAAAATAATGCAAATGTTTTAAAAAGTGTCTTTGACATTATCGAATTGCCTCTTTTCATTATTTTTAAACTTTCATTAAAAAACGGGGACTTTCCTGATCAATTAAAACTTGCTAAAATAATTCCAATATATAAAAACGGCGACGATTCTTTAGAATCAAACGTATATATGTATAATAGAATATATAACTTCATTGATAAAAGCAATATTTTATATCCTAAACAGTTTGGATTTCGGAGAAATCATTGCACTGAGGATACTGTGATGGATTTGGCTAGCAATATTTTGAAAGGATTTGATGACAATAATTATACGCTTAGAGTTTTTGTTGATTTATCGAAGGCGTTCGACACTGTCGACCACGAAATCCTTCTCTATAAATTAAAAAATTATGGAATTCAAAATATTAATCTAAAATGGATCGAGTCTTATCTACAAAATCGTAAACAATGTGTGACGTATGATTTAACTTGTACGCAGTTTGAAGTTATTAGTTGCGGTGTCCCTCAGGGCTCAATACTTGGTCCTTTGCTGTTTCTCTTATATATCAATGACATCCGCTTATCTTCTAAATTCCTTAATTTTGTTCTTTTTGCTGATGATACTAATATTTTTTTTTCGGGGTCTAATTTAAAATTTGTTTTTTCTACTGTAAACACAGAGCTAATTAATCTCAATAAATGGTTTAAAGCCAATAAACTGTCCGTAAACATCGATAAAACTAAATACATTCTGTTCACGAAACCTTCGAAAACTGATAACATACCCCTAAAACTTCCTAATTTATTTATAAACAACATTAAAGTAAAAAGAGTTTATTCAATGAAAATCCTAGGTATAATATTTGATGATCATTTAAACTGGAAAAATCAAATCCAATTAGTGGAAAACAGCATTTCAAAAGCACTTGGGATCCTTTTCAAAACGAAGCACCTTTTGAATATAATGTGCTTAAAAAGCTTGTATTTTTCATTTATTCATAATCACATTAGTTATTTCAATATAGTGTGGGCAAGTAATTATTCATTTTCTTTGAAAAAAATTAATACCAAACAAAAGCAAGCGAGCCGGTTAATTTTGAATGCAGGTAGATATGCATGCGCCGAGCCTTTACTTAAAAAAATTAATGTTTTAAATATTTATAAACTAAACATCTATCAAAATTTGTAGATATGCATGCGCCGAGCCTTTACTTAAAAAAATTAATGTTTTAAATATTTATAAACTAAACATCTATCAAAATCTGTTATTTATGTTTAAAATTCATAACAACAAGCTTCCAACATATTTTCAACCGCATTTTACCTTAATTAATCATAAATACTCAACAAGACATTCCATTGGCAACTTTCTCATCCGTACAACATCCCTTAGAAAAATAGACTTCTCAATTACATGTCGAGGACCACGTTTGTGGAACTATTTTCTTAATAGAGACATGAAAAACATGACTTTAAATGAACTATTTAAAAGAGCAGTTAAACGATACTTATTAGATTTAAATAATAAAAACATTCTTTTATATTTTTAAAAACATTTATATATCGATTTGTTAACACGTATATATGCATCTTATAACCCAGTGGGCACCCGACGTCAATCCGACGTCGGATTTACGTACGATTTTCATCAGCGATGTCAAAAGACCTATTCTGACGTTGTTCCGATGTCAGTAAAATGACGTCGGGCGATGTCTTTATTTTAACATCCCCTGACGTCGTTTCGATGTATTTTGACGTTGTTCCAACATCTTATAAAAGACGTCCAAAAAACGTCGCAGTACTGACATCGATCCAACGTCGATAAAAAGACGTCGGGCAACGTCATAATATTAACGTACTCCGATGTCTTTTGACGTCTTTCGACGTCAATCCAACGTCCTTAAAACAACGTCGGAACAACGTCGTAAGACATCGCTGATGAAAATTTAATCCAAACCCAACAATATGTGTGCAATTGCGCTCTTCAATAAATATGTGAACTAAGCGTGTTTTTTATTAATGGAAAGAAGTTTGAATAATGGTTGATAAAACATCATGAGGTTTTGTATGATGCACTAGCATAGTTTTTTAACTATTAACATTTTTGAGTATACATTTTTTATAATATATAACTATTCGTTTTAATATTTATATAATATTTAAACAAAATTATTTCTTATCAAAGTAATAATTCCCAAATAGCTACAAGTATAAATTACTAAATAAACACATTAAATAATATGTCGCTGTGGAGTAGTGGTAAGCGCGTCAGATTTAGTGTATAATAGACCGAGGTTCGATTCCTGCCGAAGGCAACATTTTTTAGTTTTCAAAAAACACGTTGGATTTACATCGGAATGCCGACGTCGCGCGATGTCAGTTTATCCGACGTCAAATAACATTTCCATTTCCAACGTAAACCCAACGTCGATCCGACGTCGAGATCCGACGTCGCTCGACGTTCGTTCGACGTCGAAATGCCCACTGGGAACTTATGTATATTTTATGAGCTGTAATATGTTATAGCATGTACAAAACTTGTAATATGTATAAAACTTATATAACGTATATTTTAGGAACTTAATATGTAAATCTTATTTGATACTTTCACGAACTTAGGAGCAGGGTGATAAGGCGCATTGTCTTCTACTTGCTCCTGTGAGAATATAAAGATTTAATTTTTAACTTTTACAAAATATATTGTAAAATGATTGTTTATTGACGAAATATATTAAAAAAAAAAAAAAAAAAAGAAGAAGATTTTTTAAAACTTTTTTTCGATTTAATATTTGATTACTCATTTTAATCTGATAACAAAAATAATCAATACTTATTACCAACAACAACACATTAGCTTGAGCGTGCAAAAAAAAAAAAAAAGTTTTTGAGTAATTAACGATTAAAAGGTGCTGAACTTCATCATGTTCAACCGATTAATATTAGGTGTTTTCATAGATAAATATTAGGTGTTTTCATAGATTAATATTAGGTGTTTTTATAGATTAATATTAGGTGTTTTCATAGAGCTATTAAAAATATTTGATTCTATTGAATGCTTTTAATAGGTCTATAAAATCGATCATGAGATTTCACTATAAAAGGTAAAGTATTATAAAACAAATTAGTAAACAATTTGTATTCAGCAACAATGAATATCCAAATGAGTTTCAAAATACTCCATATTGCCCAAAACAAACCTAAGGTTCCATTTTGAGACCACTATTGTTCTTGATTTATATAAACAACCTAAATAAAGAATTAATGAAGTTTAATGGGTAATATATTTGCTGATGACATTGAGTTATTTCTTACCCTAAAACACTACCTCGCAGCTGCTTTTGACAATCACTCAAACCATCATGAGTGAAATAGGGAACAGCGATTCGCAACGAACGCTGAAGTAAACGCACGCTTTTTCGCTGCTTAAAGAAAATAAAATAGAAAATCGTTAGTACCCAGCAAGGAAAAATACGTATATTATACATATAAAATACGTCTTTGTCCTACTCTTCGATACGTATATTCTAATTCTTAAATGCAAATCTATAATACGTATTAATTAGATGATTACAATGCGTTGGTAATAGACGTATAATATACGTATTTAAAATACGTCTCAGATATCTATAATTTAAGTATTAAATGCAAATCTATAATTCGTATTAATTAGATAAATAAAATGCGTTGATAATAGACGTATATAAGACGTATTTAAAATTATTAGGTTTCTATAATTTCTGTATTAAATGCAAATCTGTTTATTTATAGATGTCAAATCTGTAATACATGTTCGCAAAATGAAGAGTAGATTGTTGTATTATCTACCGTTGTATAATTATTGCGGAAATAGATTAATTTCTATCTTCGCAGCCATTGTTTTACCACAAAAATTGTGTTGTACAACCGACGTTAATTTGTGCAACTATGCTAGACAACGTTTCCATTATAAAACAAAGTTGTTACAGAACTGTTGTACAACATTTCTACAACTATTGGAAACCAAGCTTAAAAGAACATTAAAACATTTTGAATTGTATAATATTATTGTTTATTTATTTAAAAAAAGTAACTATATACTATAACATAAACTATATACATATAATATAATATAAATGTTAGATATCAATGGAATGGTTCAATCTTCCTGGTGCATTCTTTAGTTTATTCCCGACAACTCTAAATAATTCTTTTTTACTAACGGTATACCTGTCTTGTAACGCTTCTAAAATAAGTTAAGCAAAAATATTTAAAATTAAAAATATCGTCAGCTTAATATATATATAGTTGAATACGACACTTAAGTGTCGCATTTATCATTTTTGAAAAAAATGACTATGTACAATATAAATTGTATCTCACCAAACATAACGTCCTTTAACTTAAGGTTTTCAAACGATATTTTGTTTTCTCTGCCTTTACGTTTACTCCCTTTAATGTTCATATTCGCCATCAGGTTTACGGAAAATAATCTAAAATCGAAAAAATATTAAAGGTAAGATCTGAAGGTGAGATCTGAATGTTGTTAAATTCATTCTTGTTTACCGCTTATTTTGACTGTTATTGTATAAAAAAATGTAATTTAAAAAAAAGCTGCAACAAATTGTTTTAAAACAAATCAATCAGAACGCATAAAAAGTAAGTAGTGATTTTTTGGAAAACAAAAAGTGAAAACGCTATATTTTTCTTTGGATTTTACCTCAATACACTGAGTTTCTAAATTAAAATCCTTATTCATTTGTATGTTCATTTTAAAAAATGTGTATATTATTCTATATATTAAATCTACATATTATTTATCGTATATCTTACATTTTTTTACAAAAATTATGCTTTCTTAATTAAAAATAGAAAATAAAACATACTTTCCCAACATATTTCTGGTACAATCTGCCATATCCACACCACCAATATTCTTCAGTTTAGATAACTAAAAAAAAACGTTATTTAAAGCTTATTTAAGAAGTTTTCAACCCCTTTCTAAATAGACTGTTTAAAAGATATGATGTGTATGCTTTATTCAATATCCATTATTTTTTATGTATTAAAAAATCATTTTTATCTCTTTAATAATTACATTATTGCAAGAAATAAAAATCATTATAATTGCAATGATAACACAATTTAAAAAAGTCAATATTACCAAAAAGTCAATATTATTAATTAACATATATATAAAAAAAAAAGCATACAATTGCTTTTCGCTGCACATCATCCTTGATAACTTCTTCTAGTTCATCGAGTTGGTCAGAGTTATTAATTTTTTCGATATGAAATTTACTATTTTCTGGGTCCTTAACCTCTACTAATTTTGAAAGAAGATCTCTAATTTCAACAAGATACCGAAGCGACTTGCGTTGATACTCTAGAATATTGAAAACGTTTTTGTTTAAATTTTTTTTAATTGTAAAATTTAACATTGTATCTAATGATTCAATAATTGATATAATAAATTTTAGCAAACAATTTTTTTTTAACTATTTATCAAATTAAAGCCAAACTCACTTCCTTTTTCCATTGGAAACGGTTGCTTTTCTTTTTCTAAACAATAAACTACTTTTCAGATCACATTTAAATTGGAGTCGATTAGAGTGTCAAAACAAAGTTATACACTTACTTGACTTTTTGTCACATTTAGTCACAGTACAGTGACTTGGTGATTGAGACTGACTTTCTTCTTCCAATGGAAACTGTTGCTTTTCTTTTTCTAAAAAATAAATCCCTTTTTCAGATCACATTTAAATTGGAATTGATTAGAATGTCAAAACAAAGTTTTAAACTTACTTGACTTTTTTTTGCGTTTAGTAACAGCATGGTGACTTGTAGATTGAGACTGACTTTCTTCTTCCATAGGAAACTGTTGCTTTTCTTTTTCTAAACAATAAATCCCTTTTTCAGATCACATTTAAATTGGAATCGATTAGAGTGTCAAAACGAAGTTATACACTTACTTGACATTATGTCGCGTTTAGCCACAGCATGGTGACTTGGTGATTGAGACTGACTTTCTTCTTCCAATGGAAACTGTTGCTTTTCTTTTTCTAAAAAATAAATCCCTTTTTCAGATCAAATTTAAATTGGAATTGATTAGAATGTCAAAACAAAGTTTTAAACTTACTTGACTTTTTTTTGCGTTTAGTAACAGCATGGTGACTTGTAGATTGAGACTGACTTTCTTCTTCCATAGGAAACTGTTGCTTTTCTTTTTCTAAAAAATAAATCCCTTTTTCAGATCACATTTAAATTGGAATTGATTAGAATGTCAAAACAAAGTTTTAAACTTACTTGACTTTTTGTTTGGTTTAGCCCCAGCATGGTGACTTGGTGATTGAGAGTTTATATTTCTTTTTTTATTTAATCGAATAAAATCTACTATCTCATCATCATCAGATGTTGCATCTATTGCAAAAAATTGTTCAAATATAAGTAAAAATAAATAGTATCTAGTGAGTCATATCAAAATATATGAAAATATATAACTAACATTCTCAGTTGATTTTTTTTCTCATTTTGCTGCATTTAAGTAAGGATTTTATATACTTATTTACTAGGTGAGCTAACTTCACTATGGATAAGGACTTAAAGTTATTTCTAATTTTAAGAAATTATTTATAAATAATCTTATTACTGCATTACCTAAATGTAGTGTCAGATCTTTTACTGTTTTATCTAAAAATGAAGCATTGTCATTGATGATGGCTACAGTTTCTGCTTTAAAATAAACGTCTAATGTTAAAATATTATTTGATGATGCAAAAAAATTAAATGAACAATAATAGCAAGAAAATTATGAAAAATATGAAAAGGTTAATAAAATACTTTTATTTTCTTTGAGGATGTCGATTGACAGTTTGTAGGAGGAAGGAGGTTTTGGTAGTAAAATAGGGACATCTTTGCTGATTCCTGTTAGAGATATCAACAGAGATAAATAATATATTAGTAGAATTAACATCAAGATAATTAGTGTGGAGGGTGCAACCTAATTTCAGCTAAATCATTAAAACAAGTTTGAACCTGAGGTCACTTGATTGCTAAATTCATCATCAGTGGTTACTTGCTCACCGCAAGATGTAAAATTAAAGTCATTGCACAACTGTCTATCTTCTGGAAATATGAAAACAGTTGAAATAAATTAGGGATATAAATAAACAAATAACAAAGATGAAAAGCAAATTGTTAGGAAAAAACTGATTAAAAAAAACTTTTAACTAAAACAAAAAAAAGTTAAAAAAAAAGAAATAGGACTTGCCATCTACAATTTTTGTTTTTAACCATTTAAACTTTCTCCATGATTCATGGTCAACCTCAATATTTTCAGAAATGGCCCTCTGAACTGACATTGTAGAAGGCCAAAAAACAACACCCATTTCTTCATTGATCCAATTTGCAGGAAGCACATCTTCAAAAAAGGAATTTTCATTTTCTTGCCACACAACCCTTGCCCAAAGTATTTTTTTTAGCTTAATATTACAAGCCATTATATAAATTAAGTATATAACCTAAAAGAAATAACTAAATAATATTGACAAATTGATTCTTTTATTTATAAGCAACCCAATAACAGTTTAAGTTAATTCAGTTAAATTATACTAAATTCAATGTTTTATATAGCTTGATTTAAATGTAACTATAAAAACGACTTTTTTCATCCTTTTTAATTAAATTCAACAAAGAATAACATTGTTTTAAACAGAGTTTTTTCATTCTTAATAAATATTTTATAAGATTAACATCATATATTACATTGCTGATACTTCAAAATTACACTTCCAAATAAAGTTTCTATTATTGACAAACTTTTAAATACAAAATGTTATAGTAGGAAAAAAAAAACTTAGAACTTTTCAGTATGCAATAAAGGAAAACAAACATAACCATTTTTAAACGGAAGAATTACTACCTTATTGATAAGCTCAGACTTATGTATAGTTTCTTGGTGCACGCGCAACTTACTCATATAAGGAACAAATGCAACATTCATTTCTTTTGAATCAAGCGGAATATTGTAAAAAGAAGATATCTGATTTAATCTAAATTTATCACAAATATAGCGGCCGCAATCCAATTTTTCTTTCAACAAGCAAAAAGTTTGATCTTTAATAAAGAAGCAAGAATCCCGGAATCGAAGTGATATTTCAACTGAAATGGTCTTTGTTGATTGAAATGTTACTTCATTAAACTCAGCATGCCGTTTTGCCACCTGAACCACAGGATTACTTGAATTTCGTACATACTTTTTTAGTTTTTGCATATAGTTTTCAAAAGGAAAGGCTGATATTTGATTTAGTGAACACCCCATATAAATAACATCGTCGTGTATATGGACTAGGTTGTGTACATTGTAAACGCAGAAGTCATCACCATATATGTCCTTTGCTGACCTAACAAAATATACAAGCAAATTGTGTGCATAAACAACAAAATGATTTCTGAAATCATTGTCTTCAGTCAAAAGTATTCTCATAGCAACATGAAAACACAAAAAATGTTCATATGTTTTTTTGGAAACAATGCTTTTTAAAACTAAAGGCCCTGTGTATAGTAAGAACTGCCTAAATTCAGTAGCTTTCCAAAATGGTAATTCGGACAATGATCTAGGTTGCCGAACAAAATCAGAAGGTAGCATACCATTTAAGGCCACTAACCTTGCAGATAAGTCTTGAACTTGTAAATTTGATAGCCTACAGATTCTTGGCCCTTGCTTTAAAAATGTTAGAATTCGTTTCATCACTCCTAAACATGTTAAATGCATGTAGTCTAAAATAAAACTATCAATACAAGAAATTTGCAAAATAATTAGAGGAGTGTAAAACTTTTGGTGATCTTTGTACAAGAAAGCATTAAACTGATGTGTTTCTCTCGGCAAACAATTATGGAAATCATTAAAGACAATTTTATGGTTTTTGTATGTACCTTTTGCTTGACAACGTTCACAAGAAAAATATCCAGTTTGGCCAATAATACCTTTGAGAAAAGAGCGAGCTGGAGCATCACAAATAAAACCTTTTATTGAAAATGGATATCTCTTACCTTCATACAATATTCCAGAAAACTGCAATAACTTTATCTCGTCTATAAACTGAGAAAGAAACACTTCTACAGAATTTGGTTTTGAGAACCCACAAAACAAGCCAATCAAAAAAACATCTGAATGCAAAAACCTCCCTAGAATAGGCCATAATTGTTTTTTAGATGATTTAAAAAGTGGAAGACCATCAATATTAATGAGCAGCTGAACACTATCAACATTATTATTTTGAATTTTATTAAGCTCACTCACAATTCCAACTTCAACTCCAAAATAAGTGAAAAACCCTCCTGCCTTTTCTTCAAAGTCAATACGCCTAGGAGTATTTAGAAAAGTTCGACAATTTTTTGGTAAACAATGCCCTTCACTTATAAGCAATTCAAGAAGATCATTTGTGCAATTATTACTTAATTTATACTTTAGTACCAAATGTCTTAATTTTTGATTGAATGTTAAAGCATCTTTTATAGGGAATATTTCTGGATTACCAATTGATTCAGCCGAAGATATATAATTATCATAATATCCAAAATCAGAACTACTATTATGATCAGACAAATAATTAACTTGCTTTTCGACGATGTCTTTCAAAGGCTGTGTTGTTGGTATATCATTAGTGTCACTGTCATTGCTGGTTGAATCAACAATATTATCTAAAATTGCATTTAATCTACGGTACTTTTTGAAGTATGCCATATTTTATAATATTGAAAAAAGCTAAATAAAACTTTTGCAAATATAAACGTTTCTATTAACTTATAACATGAGTTAGCAACAACATAATGACAAATAATAACATAGTTATCAACAATATTAAAAAAAAAAAATCAAATACTAAAAGCAAACAAATATATTAAATGCACTCAAACAATATAGTGCAAAAAACAAAGTTTAAAATAAAGTAAACTGCAATCATAAAACCAAATCATGTTTGATTTAAGTAATAAAAATAATATATATTAAATTATATATATAATATATATATATATATATATACATATATATATATATATATATATATATATATATATATATATATATATATGTTATATATATATGCCTATATATACTTATATATACATATATATATATATATATATATATATATATATATATATATATATATATATATATATATATATATATATATATATATATATATATATATATATGTATATATACTTTTATATACATATACTGATATATATGCCTATATATACTTATATATATATATATATATATATATTTATAAATATATACTATAAGTATATATAGTTTATATATTTTATATATGTTTATATATATATACATATATATATATAGTATAGTATATATTATTAATATATACTATAATATATATATATATACATAGTATATATATATATATACATAG